CGTACGAACCCTTTGTACGAACAAAAGTAAGAGAAATTTAGGATAAAAATATGAACATGTTCTTGCTTGAGGCCCAATGTTTAATCGGCTCTGGCCCATCGCTGCCGTCCGCGCTTACATTTTTGTTCTCATTCTTCGTTTTGTATTCTGACTTGTTTTCCTTCCTCACTTCAACCACTTAGCTTTAGTTCTCTTACTCCTTGCTTATGTGCACCATTACACCAGAGCAAATTCCTAGTATGTAACTCATTTACCGACAGTGGCAATAAAGTTTCTGATTCTGATTTGCGTTTTGATTCCCATCACCCACTGGAACACAAGTTAGGAGTCATCAGAACTCTGTACCACAGAGCAGTGTCCCCATGGGAGAAGGACAAGTCACACACCAGACAGGCCCTGGAGCAGTGTGGTTATCCTAAGTGGGCTTTTCTAAAAGCAGACAAGAAACCCAAACAGGATTCCAGCCAACAAAATGAAGACCATAAACCCAGACCCAAACCATCGTCATTCCATATGTGGCGGGAGTTTCAGAGAAACTGAGATGTTTATTCTCTAAACATGACGTCCCAGTGGCTTTCAAACCCCAAAACCCGTTACGACAAAGATTAGTTCACCCCAAAGATCCAGTTCCCGGCAAAAACGGAGTAATATAGTATATGCTGTTCAGTTGTTAGTTGGACTATGATCAGTTACAAATTGGGGAAACAAAATATTAACTTGCATGTACCAACATTATTGTCCATTAGTTGGATTTTTTTTTATTATTCCATTGAACCACAAAAGCAAAGTGTGATTTTCATTGGTTAGTGTTGAGTAAATTTTTATTCATTATTACTTTTGTCAGTTTCAAGTTATTTCAGTGACCATTGTGGGCTTTTTTGTCATTAACAATATATAATTAACAAGGTACAGTTTTTTTTCCGTATGTGTATATTGCTAAAATATGTCCTGTCTTGATCCTATGGAATCCCATCCAGTGTGTGACATTCCCATTTACTACTCCATCAAATATAAAAGATAATATATGTAAAATATATTACATTGCTAACAGGAAGAAACACAAAAAAATAAAAACTGGCAAAACCATTTGTCTTTTGGCAGCAGATGACAATTGATGCCAAAACAATTACACATATTTAAGTTTTAAGTATATAAACAAAAACACATATTAAACATTTCCCAAATTTTTTTAGTTAGTTTAGAAGAAGGCAGCATGTTTTTCCAGCATAGCAAACTTTGACAAATCAGTGGAAGAATTGTCATATTGGTCATGGCACAATTTTCTTTTACAACAGAACTTTAAACAAGGACACTGATGTACAAATCTAGGAGGCATTTTGGTGTAGTATCACAATAATAAAAATAATAATAATAAAATTTCAAATGACTAGTTTTTATTTGCAGAGCATGGGGAATAATCACGAGATTCTTCACGTCATTTTCTAAGTTATACTGCCACCTGCTGGCCAAAAGTTTCAGAAGGTTGATTACATAAACAAGTGGCCAGAATATGTCTGGTATAAAAGGTGTAGGTTGTTTAAAGACATCTACAGGTTTACCTGAAGCAGCAGTGCAACAAAATTTTAATAATAATAATTTCAGTGCTCAGTCTCATGCAATAATCACTTTTTAAAACAGAGAAAGGCACATCAAACAAACTTTGCCCCTTTGAGCAGATTCACCTGTGCAGCAGGTGCGTTTTGCGCTGACAGGGCATGAACCTAAAGCCATCTGACGTCACTCCAGGTGAATTGATCTCAACTGCTCTAGAAACAGAAAAAACACATGGCTTCTGAGTCAAATATGAACTCAGAAACTTCAAAGAAAAATATATTTTTTAGAGACAAATATCTGAACAAGTTTTTACAGGAGGCTCAGAGTTTTGACTGGTGACACATCCGAGTGTTTAGACCAAGCTCACACCCAAACATCAGACACACATTGAGCATGAGCACAAGTACAGGTAAGTCATTCTTACAAAATATAAGTTTTTAGAAAAAGACAATTTGCGCTTTACTTTGATGCAGTAAGGATTAAGAACTAGCATTCCTTAAAGAATTGCAGGCCAAAGTATCAAAGATCCATAGACTTGAATATAGATCACTAGACTAAGCCCTGCCCATACCGTCCTCTGGTAGCGTCTGTGACAGCAAGGAGGAGCAAACATGGCATCCAAAAAGGGCAACAGCCTTACAGCCTCCATAGAAACTAATAGATAAACAGCAAGCTGAACTGGATCTATTTCACAGATTATCCGTCATGTTTTTACAATTAACAATTATGTTAATTTCATTCAACAATCATGTAAAACAGCAGATTTATACCAGAAAAATATATAATTTATAAATAACAATGATCTAAACTAGACCTGAAGTCAGCCTGTAACTTAGAATTTAGCTAGTTGAAAAATGATGACTTCAGCTAGTAATAAAGTATATTTATTATTTCTTCTCACAGTCATAAAAAATAATAAATATTTACCAGTCACTTAAAAATGTTCTCTGTATACCTGTTATAGGATGAAACTTGTCTTTATTAGCTAACCAACAGGTCAGGTTCCTCTAGCAGGAACCTAAAACTACTTAAATTTACAATACTATTTTACACTCTGTAGGTCTAAATATTAATCAGAGGACAAATCAATATTTAATAGTTATATTACTATATTATTATTAACTGTTATATTATTAGCTTCAGTTCTGGTCAGATCTTATTGAGCTAAATAAGATCAAATCTGCTGACTTGTGTTGTAAAATGAGACATTTTCCTGCTTCTCTTCTGTTAATAAATCCATAACACAAACAGCTTTTCTGACATTATTTAAAACATTAAATAAATTATATAAACTGTAAAATATTAATAATAATTGTGTTAACAGTATTATTAATAGTTTTAATGATTTCTACATCGTCAGTCCTTTTTTTCTGCTCTGTCGCCAACATACAGAAATGTGAAATCCAGATTCTTGACCGTTTTGCGTTAGCATCACCAGCCGATCACACGGTCACGTGGTTTCTGTGCACTCCAGCTGTTCTATATAAACTCCTTGCAAAGATCTTGCACAATGTGTTAATCAGAATATATGTTGAGAATGAATCTTATCTACCACAAGACCAAATATCAGCTCAAATCTGTAAAATTCAACGAGTCATAGCCGTTATGTGTTCGCTAAGGTTGATTGATTATGGTGGCTTTTTTTTAATCTGACTGACTCCAAAACTAATGTAGAGGTACATTCGATAATTACTTTGAGAGGTTTAATACAACCTGTTAACTGGGTTATGAGATATTTTGCTAACAGACAAGCATACACACAGGTACATCATTGCCTTTCTTTTATTCTTTCATGGCAGTGGACAATAAATATGACAGCTGAGAAATAAGTAAAGTGACTGAAGTTGCACCTAAATAACATTTAAAAGATCTAATATTTGAAAAATCTGAAAATGTTTGGCTTTAATCAAACTATAGAAATCATTTGAAACTTTCAATAAAATTATAGAAACTATTTGGCAGATAAATGCATTCAGAGTTCATTCATTGAGGCCATAATCAGCTGATCATTCTGGGGTCAAACATCGGAAACAAGAGAAAAGTGGCCGTGGCATCTTTCTGAAAAAGCATTTTTAAATTGCCCATTTTCTCTGAACAGTTTCTAATCAGAAAGTTTCCTTCTAACTCCTGGATCTGCACTCAAGAACTGAATCGTGTGAATGCTAAGTCACTGTTTTTTTTTTTATGTTGGATTGTAACTACTTCAACACACTTTCTAAAAGAATACGATAACATTCAGCTTGCTCAGGAAACCACAGATGTGACTACTCTTTGAAATATTAAATCTCTTCAAATCCTTGAAAAATCTTGCAGAATCTACTAGAGCACACCTCATCTTTAACCTTTTTTTTTTTACATCATTTTAGCTTACAGCTACTGTTTTAATTAATTAGCATTGGCAGATTATCATGGAAGGCAAAGTATGGGTGAAGGATGACGTTAAGCTACAACAACACTGGAGCTTAGGTCCGTCTGTAACTCGCTGATTTGTAGCCATTTTTGTGTATTTGAAGGCGTTCGCTGTGGCAGCTTTCTTTGATGGGGTTGAGCTGTAAATGTACATCATGTTATGTTTGTCCTGAAGGTTACATTATAAGCTCTCCATATTTCACTAACAGACACTCACACACAGACAAAAACTTTCTCTGCCTTCATCTTTTAGCAGCGTATGCTTGATCAGTCCCATCCACACCTGCTTCCCTGCCCATTTATGGCTTTGTTTCTTTTCTTTTTTTTTTAAATCAGTGAAGTAAACAATAGTTCAGCAGTTGGTGTGACCTTTGGAGAAGTCGGGCCAAACCTGCAGCAGCTCTGAAGGCTTGAACTTGTTGACGATGATGAGTTGAGCAAAAGTGCACCTGTCATACTCCAACTTCTGGATTTCAAAATAGTTCCTGAAAAGGCTGCGGGAGTAGACAGGCCGGACCCCAAGAACTCGCAGACATAGGCCTACATAAACATCTTCCAGGGGTATCAAATGTACATATGTGGAAGCCCAAGAGATCTGGCCCGCCAGGTCGGAGGAGAACACGTACCCAGCTCCAGATACATAGGGGGGGAAGCTGTCCTCTGGGTACAGCTCCTTTGACAGGTACCACTTGCTGCTGGGGTCCCTCCTGGGCATGCCATCCCAGATTACTGAGCCAGTGATGAAGCCCCTCTTGGGGGAGGTTCTGAGGAGGTCTCTGAGGTGGAAAACATTCACAAAGATGTCAGCATCCACCTTCATGGCAAAGAGGGCGTTGGGGCAGTGGGTCCCCAGCCACTTCATCATCATCAAGGTTTTCAGGGTTAGGTTCTGGTAAGAGTCCATGAAGTCCATCTGGATTATGTCTGCGTACAGCCTACTCTCCTGCTCCAGCTCCTCCTGCAGGGGGCGCAGCTCCTCCACCTTTGGAAGTCCTGTAAAGAACAGGGTCAAGGTATCGGGACTCGGAGCCCCCCATGTTTTCCTTATAGCCTCTCGCGCTGCGGTCTGACGAGGCGCGACTGGCACCATGAAAACCAGGAAGGGAGTCCTGTCCCTGCACAGCCCTGCCGAATTCAGGACGTATCGGTACGGGAGGTGGGACCGGAGGCGGCGCTGCTGCTTATCTGGAGTGGCAGGCCTCCCTTCGGCCGGGTCTTTACTCATTAAACCCAGCAGGATGTGGGCGAACAGAAGAAGAACTATCGAGGCGCCCAGAAACTTCATCAGTCCGCCGGAGGTAGGTCTCCACATGACCGCAAGTTTGCTTTAATCGCCCAGGTACGAGGTTGTCATTGCTGCTAGAGCCGAATAACTTCCAGAGTTTACCTTCAGGCTGACAGGAAATCAGAGTTTAGGAAGCAGACATCCACCGAAGGGAGGGGCGCGAGGCGGACCTTCCGCTACAGTACAAAACAAAACAAAACAAAATGTTTTTATGTTCGTAAGGACAAAACCTGCAAGAAAGAAAGTCGAGTTTTACATGATGCATATAAATAAACTACGGAAACCCAGAGCGGACGTTTTCCGCTAATATTTATTTCCCATGAGCGTTTTCTCATGCATAAATCAGCAACCCTGGTCACCGATAAAGTTTATCAGGATCACTTAAATAACACATAGGGCCACACAACGAGATTTTATTTTAATTACGTAAGTCATAATATTACAACATTAAAGTCGTAATATTACAAGAATAAAGTCCTAATATTACGAGTAAAATGCCATCTTATGAGAATAAATTCATAATATTACGAAATTTGTCATATTACAACATTAAAGCTGTAATATTACAAGATTAAAGTTGTAATATTACGAGTTAAAAGTCATAATACGAGAATAAAGTAATTTTACTTGAACAAAGTCATATTATGAGAATAAATTCATAATATTACGAAATTAGTCATATTACAACATTAAAGCCATAATATTACGGGATTAAAGTTGTAATTTTAGGCTACGAGTAAAAAGGCATAAATACAAGAATAAAGTCCTAGGATTACGAGTAAAAAAAAACATAAAACGAAAATAAAGGCCTAATATTACATGAACAAAGTCATATTATGAGAATAAATTCATAATATTACAAAATTAGTCATATTATGAGAAAAAAAGTCCTAATATTCTGAAGTTAAAGTCACAATATTAGATTGAAAGTGATACTATACCTTTTCCTAATTTTAATGCAGTGGTTAGACAGTTTTTTTATAAAGTTGTGCAACTTGTGAAGTTGTTCTTTAGTATCAGGTAAAATAATCTTTTAGCACATTAACATCAAATTATCAGTAGCAGGACTTTGAAACGATTGCACAACCGACTATATGATAAACTGAAGCTGTATTGGAATTAATGGCTGCATTGGCAGATTTAGTCGTCATGTAATTTGGATGCAAGCATTTTACACTGACCCAAAGGTCAAAGCAGACTACTCCATAATGACATGCATGACTGTCCACAGCAGAAAACGAGGAAATGAGTGAGGAAAAAAAACAGGGCAGAAAACAGACATATCATGTAAGATTATGACTTTTTCTCGTAAAATTATGACTTTAATCTTGTAATATTATAACTTTATTCTCATAATATTATGACTTTAATTTCTTTAAAAGAAAAAAAATCTTGTTGTGTGGCCCAAATACTCTGTTGTAAAATCAAGCAAATGTTCCACTTGATATACTGTATATTTAAACTTAATTCTTTTGGAATTATTTTTTATATAATAGACGGGGAGATGGAAAATAAAACAGAAAAGATAAGGAGAAAGGTGAAGAAAGAGATTTACAAAAGAGACACAGAGATGTAGAGAAGTGAAAGAAGCATAAACACAAGACAACACATTTGTAGGCTGTCTCCATCGAATGATACACAAGAGGTTACTGAATAATACATGAGCAAAACCATAAGTCATTATCTCAAGAAAAACATCAGGAAATTAACTTGTTTGCTCAAGAAAAGGGTCATCGCCATTTCGAGAAAACCATGGAAAAATTTATCAGTAGAAAACATCCGCTCTCGGCTTCTGTTATAAACATCATTTAAAACAAGTTTTTGTTTAAAATAGCTTTGCGAAAAATCACACATATGACAAAAAAAGTTATTTATGAGCAGTTCAACCGTGTTTGTTAGCAAAATATTTCATGACCCTTTGAACAGAGTTGAATGAATGTTTCAGAATGTGATTAACAATGTGATTAATAACCGTGCATCTGTTTATCTGTGGAAGCCAACTCAATTCAAGATGGTTGGTACAGCATTCTGACACTACATAAAATGGTTAAAATTCAGTCAGCTTAGTAGAAATGAATCTAAAATTTCACATGCAGCTTATATTTTTTCCAATCCAGTTTGCTACCCTCTTCAGGGGTCACTACAGCAAGTGAAGACTTGGTAATTGTTTTCCCTCAGAAGACACCGGATGGCCTTCCTGACACAACTACAGACCACCGACCTACCACAGCCCCGTTTTGTGAAGCAGGGCCTGCCATGTAGGGCACCAGGGGAGCAGATAGGTGGGGTTAAGGACGTTGAGGCGCGTCACCTCTCCAACCCAAATTTTAGATGCAACAATCATGAAATTCAAACTGGTGACAACAGGTGTGACCACTCCCTTTGACTACTACTTCTGCATACTTTATGCTAATTCAGCCATCTGAAGTTTTGCCACTGCAAAACATCAGCTCATACAGGACATGAGTGCTAAGACCTAAGTTTTGTAACTTTTAATCTCATTAAAATATTTAAATGTTTTACAAATATTTTTTAACCATAGAAATACACTGATATTGCTTCAGATCTTCTTCATCCTACTTGCTGTTTCTTTCTTCCTGTACTACTTTTACTTTTATTGTTTTGGTAGCTTTTAGATATTTTTAGCTTTAAGCTACCCCTTTGGTACTGTAGCTAATGTATTTCTCTTAGCTTTAGTTGGTGTTTTCACTACTTCCTTAACTTTTAGCTATATAGTGTTTTGGTACTTTTAGTTTTAGCAGCTCAGTCAAAGATTTTTTTTTAGCAAATATCACAAATATCAACTGTCATTCAGTACTCAGTATTCACACTGTATTTTTACAGAAAGGGATTTATGCTTAAGAGTTTAATTTGGCTAGGCTTAGTATCAGTATCACAGTGTCACCCTGAATTTATTTTGTCCATAATGTCTCTTGTTTTCTGCTGTTTTTGAAGTTGAACATTTTCTAAAGGGTTTTATTTAGTCTAAAAGAAGGCAGCGTTTTGTTTCGAGCATAGAAAACTTTGGCATCAGTGGCTGTTATGGCTCTGGGAAAACATATATGCAATTAGATAATCTGTGTTTACTCTCAGCCAACTGAAACAGGAAATACAAGTTTTTGAGGCGGAGGAGCAATCTGTTCCAGTAAAAGCAGACTGTCAACCAAAGGTGAGGCATAGGGTGGACATTTAGTCACAAATCAAAAGAAACAAAAAGAAAAGAAAGAGTTCTGTGTCATAAGGCTGCACATAACTGGGAAGAATCACCATCCTTGAAATATGTTTGTTTTTAATAAATTGGGGAAAAAAATCACACATGATTAAAAAAAACACATCATTGAGTAATAACTACTGCAGTCAATCCAATAATTACTGGATTTTTTTATTTAAAACTTTTTGAATGTACATCTACAACTGATTAACTTCTGAAGGTATTTATTAAAGATGGCCGCTACATCAGTTAACACACAAAAAAAGCTACAACACTTAAATGTTATGATAAATATGATATTATGATAATATGATATGATATTAATGATACATGTTGAACTAAAATTTGATGTTGGTAGTAGGTCAATCATAACACGTATACTGAGCATAACATCTTGTAATATTGCATTAGATAACATTATTTAAAAGGTTGACCAAAACTGTTGCAAATTCTTAATCTCTCTACAGATATGTAATGTACTATATACTATAATTTAATTTTAGGGATGTACGATAACTCATTTTAAGAACTGATACCAATAACTTTCTCCTTCTAATGGCCGATAACCGATAACATGCCAGGAGATAAGACTAGTCAAAAATGGGTAAGACCATAACATAAATAAACAGCACCAAAACCAAATGACACTGTAAATTATACCATTTGAAATAAACTCTTAGCAAACAAACATTTCTTAATATATATCAAACAAATCAATTTCTCAAATGGCCATTTTTTAAATAAGGCACATTAAATTAAAAGACCTTTAACACTGATCTCAGATTTAAACAAAAGAGAAAACTTCATTCCACAAGTTTAAAACAGATAATGCACTAACACAAGTTAGATTCAAAGTACATTTGTTTTTATTATTATTAATATTATTAATATGATTTCAAACATTTTTCTGCCTGAGACAGTGCTTCTGAGATAATAGTGTAGAAATGATAACCTGTCAATCAAAGTGTGAATGCATTACGACCGCATCATACAGGAAGACGCACAGAGAGCAGCAGCTCGGCATGGTAAACCATGGCTAACAGGAGATAAAAGGTTCTGTCTTTAGCGAGGGTGAATGGCTGGTTGTCATCATTTCCATCGTTAAAGTGATTGAGATCTGCGTCATCTCTGGCAATTTTATTTGATTTGTCCAAAGTCTCAGCAATGATTTAAGTCCTGATGAGTTCTTGAACGCTAGCTTGTTGTTGTTAGTATTTTAGCAGACAGACTTTGTGCTGCATTCAGGAGGTAACGGACATTGCATGTTCTAAAATTGGGAGTAGTTGTTCCGATGTTTATAATTATAAAGTTTGTGTGTAACATACAGGGTTAATTGGTAAAATAATATTAATAATTCTTAAAAATGATTGGTTGTTTTTCCAGCACAGAGTATTCTAATTATTGTTCTAGTGAGAAAGTTGTTTATTGCGACACAACTTGAACGTTGCTCGGGTCGTGTCGGACGGGAAGCGGATTGACCAAAACGGATAAAAATAAACATGCATTCTCATTGCCGCGCTGGCAAACATGTACAGTACATATATTATTGGCAGTGTTGAGCAGCGCTAATTCAAAAGTTAGTTCCGCAAATTTTAAACACCTAATTCTTTTCTTTAGTTCCGCATGCTCTAAAGCACACATGTCATAAATATTTTAGCGGAAGCTAAATAGATGCGCAACATTGGCTCAGTTCACCAGAATATATATACTGTATATTTCCAGTAATAACATGAGCCATTCTTGCACAACTAGAGATGTGACGTTCACGAACGATCTAAATCTTTTGAACAGCTCTTTACAATGAACGATAGGAGCCGGATCGCGGGTAGTAACGAGCCATTTGTAGTTTTATTTCTTTTATTCCTCATATAATTTTATTTTTTCATACTTAAATCGCTCCCACTTTGCTTTTTCACGGAAAACAGGCGGAGTTGTGGAGTACAGAAGCTCACGGTGAGAGGGGAAGGGGGGTTTCCGCTTCAAAAACACATGGTTCCACCCACGTGCCGGGATGTCGTCATTATGTACATCTACGTGATGACGTATTTTCCAACATGATGACGTAATACATTCAAAATCAAACAGCTCTTTTGACGGCCCTGCTGCTCAGGTTATTGCAGCCAGCTGCCGCCTGTTTGGTTAATTGTGCTT